GTTCCGCTTTAAACCTGCTTCGTCGCGCGGAAAGCGGACGCTCCGGTATTAAAACCGATCCGGAAACGATTTTTCTAAAAAATCTACGCGAACAAATAAATAAAGAAGCGTTGGCAGATGATAGAAAGAGGATTCGAGGGGTCTCGGTTCCGCGGATCGTGCTCGAAGAACCGTGATCGGGTAATCGACCGTTTCGATCGAGCGGATCCGTCGTCGAGATTTTTATCGAGTTTGTTGATTCCACGGGCGTAGATGAACTCGAGCATGTAACGATTCGCATCTTATGGCTTTACAGCAGTCGTTACGTTTAATTTCTGAGGGCATCGTGACCCTGTTTCGCGTTTCCTCTCTTACTCTTTCCGTCTCCCTCCATCTCCGCTCGTTATGACACTAGAGAAGAACGGTTGATCCACTCGACAGTCGGAGCAGCCGCAGCTGCAACGTCGGTAGCGGCCGTATCTCTGTTTCCCCTTGGCTGCAACTGCTGCTGTGCCATCGTCCGCCCTCGTTCATGAGAATTATATATTTTCGCGGAGCACCTGACGCAGCCCGATCGCCTTCGAATTTGCACATCCGTTCATCTTTTATTCTATCTCGACCCCGTACGCCCTCCGACTTCTCTTATTTCGCGCCCGTCGATCTTTTTCCTTCGACCCCCGGTTCGCGTAGCAATATCCCGCGCACCTGACCCTCCTAACAACCCCCGCGCATCGTAGACACAAATTCTCTCGACGCCTCGTAAACGAGAAATTATAGCGCGCGTTACTTCACCCTTCCGTCCCGAATGAGTTGCTCGAATAAAAAGGATATTTTAATATCGACGTTCCGATAGAAAATTCGAAATCCATGCGTCGTATTCGGCGGAAGAATGTACCAGCGTTTTGTATTTCAGATCTCGTCCTCGTGAAATCCGAAAGTTTAAGAGAACGTAAGGAAAAGTTTCGCTCGACACACGAGGAGAACCACCCCTAAGGCCTCTTAGACGTTTCTTCGGTGGCGAACGCGTTCTTGAGATACGCCTTGGTTCTCCGCCTCGATTCAGATCCGCGTAATTTGTGCAAGCCAACTGCAGAAACTCTTCAAATCGTTTCGCTGCGCCGTGCCCGTGTTCTGTTTACTTCGATCAATAACGGAAACGTGTAGTTTCTTTTTTATCGCGTTTTTTTAACAGGTAGTTCGTGCTCCTGGGCGTGGACGGGCTGACATAATTTTCACGAACCCCACGTCTAGCGTCTGTTCTGTATCAACGCGAACGCTGAGGAATGCGGGGCTCCTTGTAACGCTAAAATCGTAGTTTCTTAACACTAAACCTACCGCGACTGATCAAAAAACCGTTTTTAAAATTTCGTTTGCGAGATATCGTAATTTATGTAAATGGTCATTTTTCTTAATTCGACTATCGCTGTCTTCGTCTGACGCGTCTCTGTCTCGTACGTGACTCGTGACTATCGTGGCCCAGTGACCTAGTTTCAACAAGCACATGCCGGTCAACGACCTTGACAAGGCCGTAGCGAAAAAGTAAACAAACGCTTCGAAATCTTATATCTCCGAAACTAATAAAGCTATCGACTAGTTCGAACGCTCATTTTAAAGGGTATTTCATGCCCTATCTGAAGAATGTATCAACTATTATAATTTACATTGTCTTCTATGTTTATTTTCACATTTATTTCGACGCTGTATACTCAAAGGCGTTTCAGCTATTTATATCGATTTCTATCGAACTAGTCTGCAATAAGACTAGCGTGGAATGGACATACATGGAGTGTCGGTAGGTTTACCGTTAAAGTAGTTTATTAAAAATACACACACGGGCCAGTATCATTTATTTGCTCCGTAATAAATCGTTCTCGAAGGGGTTAAAATGGACTAAATGGCCGGGGTGAACGAAGTTTCTTGATACTTCGCTTGTAAAAATTTCAGTCACACTCTACCTCGGCGAATTTTGTCACGACTGCAATATTTTATATTTACGATCCTTTCCTCCCGTTGTTGGTATACGAGGAAAAGGCTGCTTCGAATGTCGTGGCCATTTTTAACGTCGACCTCTGAATTCCCAGTCGATCGATACTCAAGAATTCCCCGTCGGGGATCGTTCAGTCGAAGAGCGCCACTTACGTATTACAATCGAGTCACCGATGATACATAGTTCTCTTTCGGTTTCGCATCAACGTTACAGCCTTTTGGCGAGCTGCCCATCTCCGTGGCGCTCCTATAAGTCTCACACGACCGGTACGAGGGAACTTGAACCCCCTGCCCTCAAGATGTATGACTTTGGCGTCGTGATTGTGAACATAACTCGTCCCGAAATTTTTCAGCTCTCACCGAATTGCAATATAAATCGTCCCGTCGTCCGAATGCACGCTACTTCCGTCGACGATTCGACACTGCGATTAACCACGCAAAAAGTATCCATTCGAACATCGTACGAAAGGTTTTGCGACGAATTTGCTTTTATCGTCCGTGTTTCGCTATATAATTCTTCGTACGTAACGCTCATTTGTCTCCGTAATCTTCAGCAACTTCGACATCAACTTCATTTGCAATAGTCATTTGTCTCGGTAATCTTCATCAACTTCAGCGATCTTGTAGTAACAAGAAACGGGAGCAGCTAACTTCTTGTTGGCGACTTGTCGGAATGATTTACGACAATCTATCCGCGATCTTCCGGTGGCGTTTTGGAACAGTTATGAGGAAAGTAGATAAAAATTATATTTCAATTTGTTCGTGTCGGTCAGAAATAACAGATGTATTCCAGGCGATCGATGTCGGGGACCACCCTGTACGTAGAAGCCAACGGAGCACGCTTTGTTTAAATAATAAAAAGTTGAAATTCACGATTCTGTATTCATAGTTGGTATTTCATTTCCCCATTGGCATTTTTTCAATTTTCGACAGAGGGCCATTGTTCTGCTCGCGCTTCTATTCATTGTCTTCTATTACCAGTCCTCCGGTTCTGTCATCGCAATTTCCGGTTTCTGTAACACGAAAATGGAGCAACCCTATTAATAACCTCGTCATCACTCCTCATTGAAACCTTTACTCACGTATGACATCTTCGACGATGCCGAAGACAGTGGGAGTTAATCCAATTTGACGTCGTCACGTTCGTTTCTACTCGGAATTAATGAAACAGGGGCATCTTGCGTTTCTATTCCCGATACGGTGGTTCTTAGAGGTACTATCAATCTTCATTAGAAACTCCTTGGATCACTAACACGTTCACTATTCTTTTGTGTGTGCCATTATTATTATTTCGAGAAATCTCGTTCGGTATTCCATTCGTGAATTCGATCGAATTCTAATTCCGATCCCCCACTATTTTGATTTTACGCTCGCATGGAAATTGATCGTGTCTGACAAAAGATGAAAATTGAATCGATGGAAGGGGTGAGCTGACTGAGGGTCCGCTGACATTTTATTATAGAAGCGGAGAGATGGCAAAAAGCATTTGCATACAGGAAGTGCGTGAAGGGTTGATCGAGGGTTGGTACGAAGATATTTGGAGGACGTTTCGATAGTCTCCAAGTTCGTACGAAATTGCATATAGACGACGAATTTTGCGTAAAATTACAAATCTAAGAACTCTGATGAACAAACCTGGCAGAGAAATGGTTGAAATTGGCCGTCGCAGATCGATCGTTTGCGCGAAGTCTCGTAGAAAAGTGCAGGAAAATTGATGATCGTCGATCAGCGCGACGTTTTACGAACGTGTCGCACAATACGTAAATCGTAACACTCTACTTCGCCAACGGCGTTTACGGGCGCAGCGTAAAAATACCTTGTCGAAGACGTGCGCCATTTTGGTACCCGTCGTCGTCTAAAATGTTTTATCCATATCCTGCTCGGGGCACGTTTAGTGGGACGCGAGCGCGGCCAAGTGCATGCTCGCACGTCGTAATAATCTAGACGAGATGAGACGGCGGCTTTTGTTGTGTTTTATAGCGAGGAAAATATTGTTCTGGTTTACGAAGATACTTCCAGTCGGTTCGCGGCGAACATTTTCGGTGTGTGCCGAGCGTTCATCGCGATCCAACGGAACCGCGAAACGATAGGTCGCCCCCGTGGGAGAGGAGTTTACATTACGGCGCAGTTTTCTCCGTTTTCTCTTCCTTTCAAACTGTTCACCGGAAGCAACGTACGGTAAAAAAAAAACCATTCGAGTAATGCACCTTGCGCGAAGTGTCTCTGGAAAAAGAGCTCTGTGCATGGAGGGGGGGGAGGATGCTTGAAGCGGTGGAACGGTGTAAAATATTTCCTGCTAACGTATCGTTGGCGATAAATCGTGTCTTATAATATTACTTAACGGAATTGCTTTCTATTTACGCGTTGAGAATCGTACGAGTAGTTTCGGAAGAACCCCCGTAGCAATCGATGGATCACTGTGCAAACTAATCTCGAATTAGCTCCGTAGACTCTATTATTTTTCGCGAGTAAAACGAAGGTACACCGACCGGGAGAAACAGCATTAATTCCGTAATCGTGTGCAGTTACTTCGGGCTCTCCTCTGCAAAAACTTGCCACTCGTAGATTCATAGAAGCACGGCAGTAGAAACACTGAGAATATTCGGACCTCTGTTTCCGTTCGAGATAAAACCGATGCGCAAGGTCCGAGTCGGTATTAAAAAGTATCGAACTTTCGATGGCTCTGCGTCGAGTTAGCTACGAATCGTATCTTCTACTTCTCACGGTGGAGGCAATGAAAAATACGCGAAAGAAGCGCGCCCCCCGATAGTCGATGTGCATCGAGCGTCGAATAAAACGAGGAAACTTTTTAGCGAAATTATCGATCGGTACAATTAATTTCTTCGTTTGGCGAACCGTTTTTAAACAAATAATTCTTTAACCTCGATGGATGTCCATCACGTTCGTGACAAATTTAACATCGGACAATTTCCAATGTATTTTATCGCGTTCGTTCGCACGTTTTAGCAATAATCGTTTGATTTGCCCTGACGGCTGCACACGGATAAACAATTAGCGTCGATTTTCTGTTTCAGGTTCCATCGGCGCGTGATCGTTTCGGAGCGACGTGTCGTAAGGTTGGTAACCAAAGCTGAAACTTTGCGCTTAAACCTGTCGACTTCTGGAACGTGCACCTTTCGATTATGCTCGACTCTCGCGTGAAATATCGTTTCATCGATACTATCGGTCAGGAATATCGATTTCAGAACGAGACGTTTAGGCGGAGCAATTAGCTTTACAAAACTTACTGGAACTCGCTCGAGTAATCGATCGATCGTCGCATACCTTTACGCAACTCGGATTCTAAACGTTGCGTGTCGCGTTGCACGACTATTTTATTCTATCGCGCTATCTTTGTTCGAAAAACGACGGTACGATTTATCATTAAAAGATGTAACATCAGAAGCAGATCCCTCGGTGGAGCTCCCGTTTTCCAGTTTCGCGGAATAAATATTCGATTCGTGCACTCGACGGGACTCACTATCAATTCGGTAGGCTCTCGAACAATATTTATTTAACCGGTATCGATTTCGATGGCACGATGTTGGTTTCCCGTACCTTCGTTTCTATTTTTCCTCTCTCTGCCTTTTGGAAAACCTACACCGTTCGTTCTCGACTCTTTCTGCCCGCGCTCCTTGCTGGTCGGTTTTAAAAATCACTCGTGCTAACTTGCAAACATTCCAGATCCTCGAATTCTTGTATTTTCAAGCTGGTTTACGTTGACACGTGCCCTACTATTATTGTTAAACGTTTTCAGTGTGCAGTAAAAAGATATAATCAATCAGAAAGTGTCACGTACAACTTTCATATGAATTGATTATATTTTCAACGAACGTGCACAGTAGCGATAATACGCATACATTTACGCTTATGAAATGAGAAAATTACGCAACGAGTAGCTTTGAGAAGTTCGGATTTTAACAGCTTAAACGATGCTATATTCGACACAGCGATTACGATTATTTAAAATTTCTCTCTGTTCTAATACCAGCGCATCCTTTGTCGTCTTTTCGTTATCACCGTTGACACGCGAATTACATGTGTAACCAGCTGGGGACGGTGGTTTTAATTAACGATATTAACCCATCCCGGCGCGAGTCAGACATACTCGTCACCATAATGCACGCAGCATAACGTCAGACTGAATTTTCCGCTCTGATAACGCGACTTTTTTCATTTCATTTCCCAGACACGGACGATAGACCAGGATTGTTTAATGAGCCATTCCATTTTCGATACACAGACGTAAACGAGTAAAAAAGAGGAAAAAGAACTGTTTGCAGAAACTACCTGAACGCAGGCGATACCGCAGCTAATAGCTAGTGTCTAATAGAATTTCAAGAATTAACCTTGAATGATATCGGACACGAGCGTCACGCAGGCCTCCGTAACACGTGGCAAGCCCTTTTCCCGCGCTTTTGCGTAACACGTTAGCTCAATTTGTACTAATAACTCGTCGCTGACACGCGAAATATCGTCGATTCGGTCGAAAGTAATTCAGCTTATGGAATATCGACGAGCCAACGCGACGCCAATGGACAGTTTTCAGCGCGGAACAGAGCGGTGTCGCTCTAACAACATGAATAATAGGTGTCATAGAGGATCGTCACGCGAACCTAATGGCTTTATCGACACGACGTATCACAGGAACAATGTAGGCATTCGGGGTGATTATAATCTCATAACAAAATAGCGTCGTTCATCTTCGCTAATCACGATTCTCTGTAACTTTGTTTGAGAAACTTGCGTGCGCGCCGTGCCCTCGACAAATTGTTGGCAAACTTCGCGTACAAGTACGGTTAATATGTACGGCTAATTCTTCCATAACGCGGTGCTTTGAGAACACGACAGAAAAATGATGACAAATCTTCCGTAACGAGGTACTTTTTCCTATCGGCAAACATGTGATGTAATAATAGATGGTGTTTGTCGTGTACGGGATAATAGAAACTGGAACAAGCTCTTTTCTGCACGAAATTACGAACAATTGATACGGGAATTAATAGCGACGAATACGTCGGAATACTTTCAGACATATCGCTTTGATACTATTTTAATTGGAAATAAGAATTGATTTTTCTCGTCATTCCGTTTACGGAAGCATTCAGGCTACGTAATACTTTGAGATATTTCTCGTTATTCCAATCCAATCTCTGAGCTTTTTTGTCATATAATTAAATAAAATCTGCCTGTTGAATAATGCCATTTGTTAGTAAGCGAATCTTAGGTGTTTTAGTTTAAAAAATGTAGCGTGAAAGCGTCCAATGTTTAACCGTAAAATTAACCGTACTTTAATAGGGTTAGCCAAATACAGTTATCCATTTTGTATGGATTATGGGGTAGGTGCAGATAATTTATCCCCGATCATTTATTCCGCATTTACCAGAAACATGTTTATTAACCCCGCCGTGTCGGGAGAGTAATTTTGCGCCGTTTGCAGACCGTTCGAATGCCGAATATCAAATTTTTCTCTTTGAAGTTGTCGCATCCTCGATATGCAGCACGATGAAGCAATACATTTGCATAACGATCGCCGCTATGGAAACGCAAACTGTGCGTCATAAACAGTCCACCTAGAACTGGTCCCGACAACACAGTTATACTTGCGATCTATCGCCGGTGCTAATGCCTCAATCTCTGCAACGTGCACGCCATCTTCGTAGTAATTATCACTGTCCTCGTATCCGCGATAAAAGTTTGTTCAAAGAACCATTTATCGTCGCGGAATAAATTTAAAATATAATTGTAAATCGGCCCTCGGGTCAGGACGAGTTCGACACCGTTAATTTGAATATTCGATGACCAAAAAAAAAATTCCTCTCGACGTGCTAATCAGCAAAAATGGCGCGCGAAATCCGTTCGACCGAGCCGGTACCAAATATTGTCGAATCGATGTCGTCCGTTCGAGCAACGTTTCCGCTCGGGCAGAAAGCAGATAATTTATTTGAAAAGTTTTGAAGCATCGAGCGCCGGACACTCCGCGAATCAATGTAATATCTTCAACGTCCGTGGAGTGATGTACGACCGAAGACCCGGCGTGACGGGAGAGCGATTATTTACAGCCAATCAGAGGGAGAAACCTATCCTGGCCGACAGACGCATAAACGCTCCCAGATCGCGTCGATTGACACGGAGGATAATCGAACTGACGAAGCACGATTGATAGAACGACGCGTGACATTCAACGCGTCGCGTCGGTCAGGGAGGTAAACCTGTGCATTGCCACGATTTCCTTCGCTAAAGGGAATTTCTCCTTCGGAGTGCTTTCGAGTCCACTGTTTCGACCGTCCCAACAGCGAAATAATTTGTCCGTATTAGTCGTGGCTGACCATTAGTTCCAACTACATCGTTGGAAGGATCGAAAGATAGCAATAATAGTTCCATTTTCATATTGTTACGTGGGATGTAATAAACAGAGCTATCGAAGTCAAGCTCCGGAGTGAGAAAAATTGGGTGGCGCAGGGTTTGGCGGAATTACGACGCCGTACGTATCGACGGGCGAACGTTGGAAAGTGAGCGACGTTTACACAAAGGTCAATTAAGAGTACAGAGCGTCCGTGACACGGCTGCGAAACGATCCTCTCCAAGAAACACAGTCGCGAGCGGGCAGAAACTCGCAGACAACCAGCCAGGGATAATTGAGCGTGTAACCGAGTAGAAGCGCTCAAGTTCGTCGAGGTGTACATGTACCCGATCTACGGACACGATGAACTTACGCGAGAGGGAGTTTGCTCTGTCCGTGTATTTCGATTCGGCTGCCCCCGGCCAGCCACTTAGCTCCGACTAATCCGGATGTAATTTTAAATGAAACAGTTTCCACGAGTTTAATAAAGCAAGTCCTCGTTGACGGCAACAAGTGCAAGTTGCGCGACTCCGCGGCTAAAATAACGGTTGCACGTTTGTAGCAATAATTCTTGGCTGCTCGCCTGTCGCGTGCTTCCTCCTTTAAGGGGACAGTCCGCTGGTTTCGAATGCAAAATAGCTGGCAGCGGTTCTTTTCCGATATTAGCCCTTAATGGTCGACGATCTTTTTGCAGCAGCAACAGAGAATGCTGGCTAAGTACAGAGAAAAATACGAACGAAACGAGGCCAGTTATATGCAGAAATGATAATTATTTTGTCTCTTGAGAGCGTCGCTGCTTGCGAATGTTAGCGTCCAAAACAATGTTATAGTTCCTTCCGTCGAGCATGAACGTTGTTCCAGCGTCGTGTTCCTCGAGCTTTATCGCGAATCATTCTTCATCCATTCGCGTTACGTCTTGGCCGACACGCGTTAGGTATGGGTATGGGATTTTCATGTAACTCGAGGACCACGAGACGTCTGTCCTCCGGGCGTCCTCGTCGACGCCTGGAGTGCGTGTTGGCGAGGTAGTCGACGCTCGTTGTCGGTTTCACTTTTCTCGTCTTCGCTGCCTGCGGGACGCAGCCACTCGCCGCGCGACACTGGAATAAATGTCACGTTCCGGACACCCTTCTTTCCCGTCGCGACCTTTGTCCAGCACAACCAGTAACGTGTTTTTATTCTTTATTCGTTGACGGGCCCAGGATCGTGAAAATCCTTACACGCGTTCGATGTATCAGAACGTAGAGTAGCGAACGTGTCGATACAATACAGAATACATCGGGATTAACATTGTTCGCGTTGATTTGAGAAGCAAGGATCATCGGTTTCCAATGACGAAGGCAGAACCTATGCGTAGCATTCAAGCTACGGTTCGAGGCTTCATTTGAGATGGAATAGATCTATAGCGTAGAGTAGAAGGTCCAATTATTGCTGGAATTCGAGGCTGAAAATGTCTGCCGTAATCAAAGAAACCAATCCAATGAGTGGTAGTTCTATGCAGCCTATTCACCGCGATTCCTAACCTTACTTGTTGCTTGGCGACTATCCCTTCCATTCGTCTGCATCATGCAACGAACTAGCTCTCTTGATGATTGAAGTTGCACGAATATAATATATTTTGTTGACTACGCTCGTGTGCGAGGCCTATTCATCGGACACCCTGTATACACAGCTATTATGCCCACGGTGAATGGTCGAGGCAACAGCTGTTTCACAACCTGGCCCTAAATTTAT